CTCTCATATGTAGTGTTTTTAGGTATAAGATAAGTTGGCTAACACTTGAGCAAGATAACTTTGTGTCTCATTTGTAGTGCTTTTCAATAAGATAGTAAGATAAGTCAACTAACAATCGAGTGGAAAAATTTGTTCTTTCATATGTGGTGCTTTTAGATATAAGAAAGATTAAGCCATAAACTATCTTAACAATTGAACAAGATATTTCTCTCTCTCTCAATAAGCAATGATTTTAACTATAACATAATCCAACTAACAATTGAGAGAGAGGATTTTTTGTATCATATATAGTGCTTTTGGGTATAAGACAAGTCGGCTAACAATTGAGCGGGAGAATTTTCCATCTCATATGTACTACTTTTAGTTATTAGAAGATAAACTTGCTAACAATTGAGCGAAAGAACTTTATCTCTCATATATATTTCTTTTAGGTATAAAATAATCCAGCTAACAATTGAACGGAATAATTTCTCTCCCCCATATGTAGTGTTTTTAGGTATGAGGTAAGCCAGCTAACAATTGAGCTCGAGAACTTTCTCTCTCATATGTAAGAATTTTAGATAAAAAAAATAAAGATAAGCTTACTAATAATTGAGCGAGATCAGAAGATTTTTTCTTTCATATGTAGTGTTTTTAGGTATTAGAAGATAAGATTGCTAACAATTGAGAAGGAGAATTGAGCGGGAGAATTTTATTGCTCATATGTAGTGTTTTTAGGTATTACATAGTAGAAGATAAGCTTGCTAACCATTGAGCGGAATAACTTTCTCCCTCATATGTAGTTCTAAGTATAAGATAAGAAGACTAAACAATTGAACGGGATAACTTTCTCTCTCACATGTAGTATTTTTAGGCATAAGAAGATAAGCTTGCTAGTAATTGAGTGAAAGAACTTTCACTTTTACGGGTAGTTCTTAAGTACTCCGTATATAAGATAATCCAGCTAACTGTTGAGCGTGAAAATTTACCCTTCCATATGTAGTGCTTTTAGGTATAACATAAGGCGACTGATAATTGAATGAGAAAATTTTCTCTCTCATATGTAGTCTATTTAGATATGACAAGATAAGCTTGTTTGCTAATAATTAAGCGAAAATTTTCTCTCTCTCAGGGCCGGCCATGGGGGGAGGTAGCCTAGACATTTGTCTAGGGCCTCCAAATTTGGTAGGGCCTCCATTTTAAAAAATAATAATATTATATATACCTTAAATCTTTAATTAAATTAATTAAAATACTTAAAAATTAGTGTAGAACAAAAGATATGTTGATGCAAAAAAAACCAAATTATCAAGATTAACCATGTTCGGTGATATATTAGAAAATAATGACAAATATAGATCTAAATAAGAGTGAATAAAATATGTCTTTTTATACTTTAGTGACTATAACTTTAATAATCATGATTGTGTTAACTATAATGCATATGCATAGACAATAATTCAATATTCTAATTCAAGTATATTTAGAGAGATAGTTTTGATGTGTACGTATATAATATAATGAGTTATAAATGTATTATTTTAATATTTTATTATCAAATTGTCACTTAAGAGGGTTAATTGTTCTCTAAAATAGAAAGGGAAAACATTTAGTTGAAATGTCTAAATTAGGATGTCCTTTAAATTTTTAGGCCCCAATCCTCCCCCAATTTGTAAAATAGTTATATATTTTTCTATGTTAGAAGATTGTGTTAAAGATCATCAGGAAAAAACTAATTAAGCCACGCTAATATTTCTTTCTGGCTATGTCTTTCCTATTTGTTTCTTATTATAGTTTTGTATTTTTTTTACTAAAAAATATATTGAAGTTATATTCTCTCCACTCCGCTAAAATTGTCTCATCTTTCGTTTTCAGCCTATGCATTAAGAATGTCACATATCAAATTTGACAAAATTTGTGTGGTTCTAAATCATACGTATTTTATCACTTCAATATCAACCACATAAAGTAGCTTTTCTTAATAATTGTAAAACTTTATCATAACCTAGCGTTAGTGAGATGTGAGTACGTTGTATCTCATAATTAAATACGAAGTATTATTTGGTTGTCAAGGGCCTCAAAATTGCTCTAGACGACCCTGCTCTCTCTCATATATAGTGCTTTTAGTTATAAGAAGATAAAGTTGCTAACAATTGAGCGGGGATATCATCATATATGTAGTTCTTTGTAGTATTAGATAAGTCGGCTAACAATTAAAGAACATATTTGTTTCTCTCACACATAGTGCTTTTAGGTATAAGGTAAGATAATCCGGCTAACAATTGAGTGAAAGATTTTTTTCTCATATGTAATTGTTTTAGATATAACAAGATAAGCCAACTATGAATTGAGCAGAATAATTTTCTCTCACATATGTTAGCACGAATTTACTAATGAATGGAAAGTTATTATTTAATTAATATTCATTGATGTTAATATTTATTGTACTCACTTTTTTAGAATTATTATTTAATTTTAAAATTAATCTAATCATGGAAATGAATAAGTAGCAAATTCTAACGAGTAGTGTCAATTAATTTTTCCTAATATACTCTTCATTGAATATATATTTTAAGGTATTAGCTGATTGAATTACTTTTTTTTTCGAACATGTAGAATCCTAAAAAGTTGTTTCTATTTTAATATTTAATTAGATCATGATCGAGTAAAAAATATATGCACCAACCGCTCTATCCCGTGCGTATGCACGGGTACTATACTCGTATAATACGATAGTATACGGAGTATGAATATTTTAATAAATTAAACTCAAGAAAAGAAAATGCATACTGCGGCAATTCTAATGGATGAATAATATCTTCCCGGCAAGTCCAAGCCCTTTAATAGCAGCCGCTAGCCAATATACTACTCTGTATTTCTCCTTATCGGGGGAGATGATCTTAATTAGCAAACTCGGTAAGTTTGTAAATTTATCCTCTTGCAGGGACAGTTCAATCACAGAGGGGTATTGTGCCGTGGACTGAATGGAAACGCTTCATTGAACAACGTTTCTATTCAGGTTATTATTTCCAACTCCAGCTGGATTCATTAAAGTTTCAGGCCAATTTTTTGTGGATTGAAATACTCTTCTACTATACTACCATAGCTTGCCCTCCTCTGGAACCACCTCCATGCGAGAAAACAATTTGGTGAAAGTTTTTATTTTCGTATTTTTTCCTTTCGTAATACTTAGTTTTATTTCGGTTCGAGTGGGTATGGTTGATTTTTTTTAATGAACTTTTGATAGGCGGTGCTTCATTTTCGGTCGTTTTAGGCTTCTTCTTGCCCGTTTTGTGTCTAGCGAGTCAGGTTGCTTTGTATGAATGACTGACTCTAAGTCTATTCCTAGAACTTACGATCGGATCTGTAATTGTTGTTTGAATTTTGTCTTGCATGCTTGCTCTTTATTAAAATCAGTTTTGATGATAAAAAGAAAATGCTAGGTTCGGTATAGTAAACATACATTTGTAAATCACCTCTAAGTACTCTCTTACTAGTTCATGAAGTTAAAAGTTGAAAACGATTCTTAATTTAACATATTCTTAACATTTGTTTTTATTCAAATTCAATCAGATTCACATTATTATATACGGAGTATTTCATACTACGTATATATATATCCAGTGAGTCTATTCAATCAGATTTGTGAGAGCGGGAACACACTAGACACTAAAGTTAGTCTATAATAAAAATTCCAAATGTAATAAAAAATGATAAAAAATGTATTAAGTTATACAGAATAGTTAATTATATATAAATAGTTCACTGCTGCAACTTTGGTAAATCAAGCTTACGAGTTTTCATATTCTGAAAATGTTGCATAATAGTTTCATTATAGATGCTTCCAAATCATCTCTCTTGATGTAGCACACCAAGCAATCAGTAAGATAGTCATCGCTCATCTTATTGCGAAGATCTTTCTTGATAATATTCATCGCAGAGAAGGCTCTTTCAACGGTGGCCGTTGCAACTGGTAACACTAAAGTCAACTCAATCAGACGATATACCAAGTGAAAAGAATTGTGAACTTTAAGCTCAACCATCTTCTTACAAACTTCACCAATAGTTTGTACGGCAGAAAATAACTCATTTGTTCTCATTTCATATATCCACATCTGGAGTTGCTCTTTCAGCTCCATTCGATCAACAAATGAAAAATGGCATGAATATAATTCCACAAAGTTCAGTAGCTTTGACTCATAGAAATTGGAGAACTTATCTCTCGGATTCAGACATGCTAAACAAGTGAGTAATTCTGTGTTTTACTCACTAAAGCGTTTCTCTATCTCAAGACTGATCTAATCAATAACCTACAATGAAATCAATAACCGTCCGCGTAAGGTTTTGTTTTTGGAGTACTTCGGCTTTTATCATTCTAGCCCTCAAAATGTTAGTGGGTTTTTAGACTTTTAATACTCCGTACTTTTAGTTGCCTGCACATTGGCTACTTTTTGGAATTTTAACTTTTTTTTGTTACTTTTTGTTTTCAATTCTTAATTATTTTTTTGTTTTTTTGATAATTCTATATCTTTTATTTTAATTCAACTAAAATTTAAATATTTTATTTATATAACCGTAACATTTTAGTATCTTAATTATCAAATACTGGTATGAAGTCGGGACACTCATTTTTATCCTAAGTACTATTAGTGAAATTCCTGGCTCGAAGCAGGGGCACATGCCCCACCTACCCCCCTTAGGTCCTCCAGTGTATCCAACTAGAGTAGTCTTCCTGTCCAGCCAGCCTGACGGGAATCGCCGTCCGGCCAAAGGTATTTCGGGCACTTCCTGGGGATTTTTTTAATAACTTTTTTTGAGGTACCAAATTTCTTCATCCAGTACAGTTTACCCATACCAAATTTAAGTCTAATTTACCCATACCAAATTTAAGCTAAAAGAACACTGCGTAGTTAATATATCAAAACAACGCAATACTTTTCAAAAAATCATTTAACTGACTTCTCAATTGATAAATTTTTAGCTAAAATTTGGTATCAATAAACTAGATTTGATGAATTAATGAAGATAATGCTCAAAATATTTCATAAAAAAATTCTACTGAGAAGTGCCCAAATAGCCCTCGGTCGGACGACAGTTCCCGTCAGGCCGACTAGACATGAAAGATTATCTATCCAACTATACATGTAACTATACATGGTGTACATAATGTTATGAACAGATATTATAAAAAAAAGTTTAGAATGATCTTGCAAAAAAATGCATGTTATTCTTGATAATAACCTCCATAACTGAAACCCCCAAATCCTTGTCCTCTTGCCTCATCTCCACCACCATATCCATAGGCACTGCCAAACAGATAATCTGCTGCTGGACAATAACTCCATGGACTGCTAATTCCTTGATCACTCCCTCCTCCTCCTCCATAATTGTTCCCTTTCCCATTGTTCCTCTGGTATTTCTCCCAACAAGGCCAATACCCAAACATGCCCCCACATACATCCACACTCTCCAAACCAGATCCATAGTAATGACCATTTGCCGCTTGGTATTCTGATGTATTTCCACTAATACCCTTGTTCAGATCATCCGATCTTCCAAAGTCAACGGCGACTCTGCCCCTGTCCCCGGAAACCACTTTCCCGATTTCATTCTCCGGTGAAGATGCGGTGGAGCGAGGGTAACAGATACGATCTGACGGCGGAAGGGCTTTTCCATAGGTTTGGGAAATATCATAGCCACCGCTATACGGGTCTGGATCATACTCATCAAAATCAGTGTCCTCTTCATCTTCTGGACCATCCCACTGGATCAGCTTTGAATTACTGGAATTTTGAACAGAGTAATTCACTTGTGGCTGCGGATCATAACTATATCCAGCATAATCGTGATAATAATTACTGCTATAATAATTCGGGCTGTTTTCTACCAAATTTGGGGAAGGGTATGAAATCGGGTTATGATCGTACGGTGTGGAAGGGTTGTAGCCATAGAAAGAAGGGTAGTGGGACTTGCCGACGCCCTGATAGCCATAGAAATCCATTTTCAAGAACCGTCAGAAAGTTCACCGGAAGTTCTGGAAAAAATGAAAAATCGGATCTTTTGTTGTTCTTAGATTTTTTTTTGAAAGATATAGTTCTTGGAATATGAAAATAGGGAAATGTATTTTTTTTGTTTAATATGGTGATAAAGATTGACCAGATGCTGATCTATATATGAAGTTGCAAAGAGGAAGAAGGAAGGGAATTTGTTGGGAAAATGTTGGCGTTTGGCAGTGAGCTTTATCTCATCTGCTCCGTGAATAAAGAAAGTTAGAAAGTTGGTTACTTTTGCTGTGCTACAAAAGTACAAAGAAGACAAAAAAGGTAAATAGAATCTGAAATCGAGATCAATGTTAGAAGCTGTTCTCTTCGCCTGATCTGAATGTTTCTGATCTGAATTTTTTAAGTTCTGATCTGATCTGATCTGAATTTTTCTGATCTGATCTGATCTGATCTGAATCTGTCTGATCTGATCTGATCTGATCTGAATCTTTCTGATCTGATCTGATCTGATCTGAATCTTTCTGATCTGATCTGAATGTTTCTGATCTGGTCTGATCTGATCTGATCTGAATCTTTCTGATCTGATCTGATTCGAATATTTCTATGATTATAATTATAATTATAATTATAATTATAATTATTATAATTGCAATTACAAATATAATTTAAATAAAATTATAATTATAATTGTAATTATAATTACAATATTTATCTCTATAATTGTAACTATAGTTATCAATATATTATAATTACTCTGTAAAATAATTACAATAGTAATAATAATAATAATAATAATAATAATAATAATATTAATAATTATAATAAAAATAATAATTATAATCATAAATTATAATTATAATATAATTATAAGTATAATTATAATTATAAATAATAATAATTATAATTATATTAACATTAATTATAATATTATAATTTAATAATAGTAATATAAATACAATTAATATTATTATAACGACATTATTATATTAATATTATTATTACAATAATATAATAATATTATTATTACAATAATATAATAATAATAATAATAAGATTATTATCATAATTAGTATTATATTATTATAATATTACATTATAATTATAATTATAATCATAATTATAATTATGATTGTAATTATAATTATAAATATTATTATTATAATTAATTACAATTATATTTATAATTAATTATAGATATAATTATAATAATTACAATTGATTATACTTATAATTATAAGAATTATAATTGTAATTATAATTATAATTACATATAATTATAATATAATATTATAATAATATTAATCATATTATTATTATTATAATATTGTAATAATAATAATAATAGTCTTCTTAACAATTGCATTTATATTACTATTATTATATTAAAATATTATAACTATTATTAATATCTTTTTTATCATATTATTATTATTAATAATAATAATTATTATATAATAATAATCATAATAGTAATAACAATATTAGTAATAATAATTAATATTTAATATAATGATAAAAATGATAAATCATGTTTGAACTTTTCTGATCTGATCTGATCTGAATGTTTCTGATCTGGTCTGATCTGATCTGAATCTTTCTGATCTGATCTGAATCTTTCTGATCTGATCTGATCTGATCTGAATCTTTCTGATCTGATCTGATCTGATCTGATCTGATCTGAATTTTTCTGATCTGATCTGATCTGATCTGAATAAAATAAGAATAAGCAATAAGTAATAACAATAAGACGAACAGAACAGCACCTTAGACAACATTTCTAACTTGTAATAATATATGGAGTACTACGTACTAAACACTCTAAAACACTCGCTCTAAAAAAATGTTCTCACACCGTTTAAGATGTTTGGGTGATTGTAAAGTTAACTAATCTCTCTGTAATTAAAACATTTTTTGGAAAAGAAAATTTACAATTCAGAAACTACATTAAAAGTTTTATAAATACACAAAATAAAAATTCAAAGTTGATAAAAGTTGAAAATATAAAATAAAAAATTAAAAAGATTTTAGATAAAAATAGCGGGACCAGACATTTGATGAGACGAAATAATAGTTTATAGAGAATGTTAAGTTGTTGACATGCCCCATAATAAACAAGTTAATGAGTAATGACTTGGTTACATCCTATACATAATGATAGGACCTACTCACCTACCGTTCTAAAATTAATGCTTAACCAAATCATCCACATCCTCATTAGTGAACATATTAACATACTCGATAAATTAAGAGCATCTCCAATGCTACAATATGCATGATGCACATGTGACATGAGAGATAGCTACATGAATATTAGCAAATAAATTATATATCTCCTTATTTGAATGATTTTATACAATTTTGATATGTTTTTCTCCACGATGTCAATAAGGCCGTCTACATGTGGCACATCGTAGCATTGGAGTTGTTCTAAGACCGTCCAGAGTATGACAACTTGTTGTTTTGGTAATGATAAAGTATAAATTATAGTTGTCACTGATTGGTGGTATAAAGTAGATTATATTTTTTAAAAATTGTATTCTCTTATTGTGCTAAGAATTTTTTAAATTTCATTAAGCATAAAATTTTCAAATTGCTTCCATTCAGTGTAATGTTCTACTAATTGGGATAGGTGATAATCAAATTAAAGAACCGTTTTAATTTAATGCATCTAGAATTCAGCCAAAAATCAAATGACTTTGTCTATACTCTACATGCATGTGGCTTGTAGGGTGACAATTGACAATTGAGAATGATGCACTGCCAGTTTTGTTATTAAAAGAACAGAGAATGTATTTATTTGAATTGCTATTTTATGGTCGGTCTGATCTGATAGATAATAATCTCTGTATATTTTATAATTGTTTAGGTCTAGTTTGGTATGTTAAGTCTCTGGTCTAGTCTAGTATGATCTAGTTTGGTCTGAAACTGAAATAAGTACAAGTAAAAATACTCTTAGTGTCTATTACAACACTAAATTTTTGCTATCAATAATATTTATTGAGATTATGCCGTAATTAATACAATTATGTGCAATATAAATTTGATTGCACATAATTGTGTTTGTATATGTTTGTACGCATTCTTAAATTTTATTATTAATTAGTATGTATTAAGAAAAAATTACACAAATATAACCACTTTAAACTTTATTAACAAAAATATTAATGTAAAACGTGTTCCGTAATTTAATTACGCATTCTTGCCCAACCTTACTCTCATGATGCAAAACGTGTTCCCTATCATTGGTCACTTTTTTGTAACCCCAAATAATATTGGTAATATTTATGTAAAAAACTCATGTATTAAATGTGACGACTTTATCATTTAATGTGTATACATACACACTCACTAATACAGTATTACTTATCAATATTTAGAAAACAAATTGATAAATTTATCACATTTATGTCCTTAGCTAGACCTCGCCTAGACATTGGGCTTGTACCCAAGTAATGTCTAGTGCCTTTTAGAATATGGTGTCTAACCCTTTGAAGAATCTACTTTAGTACTAATAAAGTAGAGTCATCTCAAATGAAATTGATTTGTAATTAAATTGCAATTGAGTCCAATCATTAAAATTGATGATTTTTAGATTTTGCCCTCAAATTAGTATATCTAACACTTATGGAATGCCTTAACATCTAATGCAACTTTGTAGCTAGCATGTAGGAGTAATTATAGGTATACTTCAAAGGCTCATACGTATATAGTCCTAACATTTAGGAAGTGTCCAACTAATTTGCCTAAATGATGCTAATTTAAAATGCGTGTAATCCTAACATTAATGATCATTAGAATTTTTTATGTAATTTCATATTCTATATATCATATCATATATATATCTAATGAAATTACATATCTAAAACAAAAATGTTTAACTACAGTAACGAAATATTATTAGTTTTAAAATTACTAGATTTGAATTAGAAGATTAAACCTAAGAAGTTATAGAATATTGATACGAGTTGTAGTATGCACATGAAAAGAGTTTTTTATAGCAATTCAAATAAAATATGTCATAAAAGTAAGTGATAAATTTTTTAAATCCAAAACACAAAGAAACTTAACTTAAAAGGGGTTTTCATTGATATAAAATCATGGACAAAATATTACTGAGTACTATCTTTGTCCTATTGAAAGGTTTCCATGACAAAACAACAAAGTTATTTATATATTAATTACAAAAGATTATTCAAGTATATTTTGAGAAATAATTTTGACAGGTATATAATATAGTGGGATTAGTGTTGATAAATGTGATGTAATTGATTACGGAGTATTATTTATAATACTTAATGATTAAATTGTCATTCGATATTTTTAATCGTTTCCAAAAATAGAAATGTCAACCTTTATATGGAGCGTCCAAAAAAGAATTTTCTCTCTCATATGTAGGATCTTTTTACTTGGACTGTAATTTGCTGGTCTGGTCTGGTCTGGTCTGATCTGGTCTGGTCTGAACTGGTCTGGTCTGGTCTGGTCTGGTCTGGTAAGGTCTGGTTTCTTTGTATTTTTATAAGGGAAAGTTCCCGAAATGGGACTAAAACTGTTTGAAAATTCCAAAATAGGACTGTCATGTTTTTATTCCCTACATAGGAGTAATTACTGTCAACTTTGGAAAATACTGTCATGTTTTAAGTCTGGTACTGCCAAAACATGACAGTAATTAGTCATATTTTGAGAATAAAAACATGAGAGTCCTATTTTTGGAATTTTCAAACCTATTTAGTCCCATTTCGGGTAATATCTCTTTTTATAACTATCCAAGTCTGGTCTGGTCTGGTCTGAACTGGTCTGGTCTGGTCTTGGGCAAATTACAGTCCAAGTAAAAACATCCGTAGTGCTTTTAAGTATAAGGTAAGCGGAGTAAGACCAGACCAGACCAAACTTAAACAGACCAGACCAGACCAGCAAATTTCAGTCCAAAAGAAAACATCCTAACAATTGAGCGGGAGAATTTTCTCTCTCATATATAGCACTTTTAGGTATAAGAAGATAAGATAAGCAGATCAATAATTGAGATGTAGAATTTTATCTCTCATATGTAATAATGTTTTTCCATAGAAGATATGAGGATTAATAATTAGGCGGCCGCAGGCAAATTTTTTCTTTTATATGTAGTATTTTTAGGTATAAGAAGATTAATAGACTAATAATTGAGCGGAAAAATTTTCTCTCTCATATGTAGTCTTTTTGGATATAAGACAAGTGGACTAATAGTTGAACGAGAGAATTTTCTCTCTCATATGAAGTGCTTTTAATTATATAAGAATAAAAG